GCAAATTTCAAATGTCCGCTAGTGATGTGGCGCTACAATATTTGGCTATGTCTTGGCTACTTTAATATTATTTTTACGTGTTTTAGCTGGCAACACTCATTCGACCATGAAAGGGAGCCAGTATTTAAACGAAGCTTAATTTTCTAATTTTTAACGATACAATAGCGACGATTATTATTTTAAAAAATTTTTGTTAGGCTTAACATCGATGAAAATTCAACGCAAAATAGGTTAATAGCGATATACTAATATACTAATTACATGGGATATAATAATATACTACACTAATAATGGATTTTTTCATACTTTTCGGTTATCCGACTTTTCAATTATCCGACCAACCCCAGTCCCCAATTAGGGCGGATAATCGAGGTTCTACTGTATTCTATAATTTTACAATCTTAATTATGCAAGATTTAATAAATAATAATTTTCATTAGATTAAAATTAGAATAATTATAAAAAATTTTGTGATTTTTAACTGATGATTTATCTACAAATGAGTTCAAAATTTAATAACAGATTAAGCAATAAAATTATTTTTATTGATTAATTTTAATATATATTTGTTTCAGATTTGTGAAGATATTACAAATTTACATTACTTAAAACTCTGTGATATTTGCATGGTTTTAGCAAATATATATTTGATTATCATCATTATAGAAATTATTAAAGTATCCTATATAACTTTCTTACTTTATTAAAATTTTAAATACTGTATTTGTTACTCTTATATTGTTACATCTATATTGAAAAATCTAGACTTAAAGTTATGTACCGATTTAAAAATTATTGAGAATTTATTATTAAGTGCTTCTACCTGTGAGCAAGTAAAGTAAATATTCTTATTTCTTTACAACGAATATGTAAATAATGCTGTAGGGACATAGCAGCAATGTAGATTTTTGAAAAAATTGATTTTCTCTTTCAGCGGTTTATATAAGAAGTACCATAATCTTTAGCTTGCCAAAAGGATGGTGGTACTTTCTATACAACATGATTGAACGAGAAGAAAAATGTGGCCATTTTAGACCAAGGTTGTATCGTACTCGGTAAACAGTAATATTACGACAATGAATAAATACACGATATTTTTGACTTAAAATGAATTTTGATGAACCAGATTTATAGCAAATAATTATAGTGTTTTAAGAAAATAGTATTTTATAACTTTTATTAAAGTTTTATACGACTTTTTTGATATTTAAATTTTAATTATTTTTTTATAATATAAATGAGAATAATTTTCAACTGATAAATAATCAGTTTAGTTATTGTTTATTAGTTACAGTATATAATATGAACTAATTTTATAGTATAAAATACTGTAATTACATGTCTAATTTCTAAAATCTTATATCGAGTTCAGTTCAACCAACAACATATAAAAGAGCGAAAGCTAATACTGAATTTCTAAGGAGCATGTATAGAAGTTTGGATCCTTGTTAAAACATCCTTATCAGTGCAATATAAAGTATCTAAACGAGCCAAAACAGAAATTGATCACAGACAACTTCTAGTCGCACTAAAATTAACTTTCTATTAAAGTTCAGTAATATCAGTTGGAAAAGAAACATTGCTAAATCAATTTTGCACTACTGTACTCCAATTATTGTATCGAATTTGGCTCTAAATCTGTAATTAGTTAATAAATTAATAAGAGCATTTACTCATTTCTCATCATTTTTACAGGAATATAAACAAAAATATATATTAGACCAGTCATTTATCCAGAGAATGAAGAAAACCTAGTTTAACCTACTCATCTTTAAACATCTTGTATACACAGAAATTCAATAATGACTGATTAGACAGTGCAGAAAGTTATAAGATTTTATCGAGCATGTAATTTATGAACAATTTATTAAACATGATATTTAGTCAGTTTCGATAAATGCCTGAGGTTTCTCTCAATTGATTTGGGTTGTCGTGCCATGATGGCTTGTGTGCATCTATGATTGAGGCCTGCACCATAGCTATGTTGACTAGTAGAGTGTCTTGGTAGACGGTCTCGGAGAGACATCGTCAACTGGGCGACAGAGCGTGAGTGACAAAATAAGAGATCAATAATAGACAAAATACATATTTTTTTTTTTTAGTTTTCTTTATTAAAATCACCATTCTTTTATATATATATATATATCTTCTAAATCGTATGCTTGCTAGCGTGAAAAACTTTTTAGGGGAAAGTGGGGTAATGTGGTCCACCTAAAAGAAAACTAAAATAATACACTCAAATTTATATGAACATAAAAACTTTATTAGTAAAATGTGAGGTTGAAACGTTCTTTACAATTTGGTTGTATTTACTTTACATACACAGTACATGTTATTTTTAAAATTTTTAATAATCAATTTCCAATGCTATCCATCAAGCGGGAATGCCCGACCACGTTGGCTATTTTACCGCTGAATGGTATGCTTTGGCACATTTAATTTTATTTAAAGATTTATATACTACCATAGTCACATTTATAACTATTTGGTGTTTTTACACCTCTGCAGTTTTTGTGTGATAATTTATGCGTTTTTGTTGGGTCTTCTTAGATTTTTTCTCTCTAACGCTTGTAACTTGTGATTTTCTGGAGTAGCTGTTGGAATTTGTGAATGTTTTATTGTGTATTCAACTTTCTCCATTTAGTATTGTTTGAAATGTAAGAAACTAATGAAATATTACCTATCACATAAGGCACTGGTTGTTAAACTTAATTTATGTGAGCGTGATTACCCTTCATTGCCATATTGGATTCTGATGCTTTTTTGTTGGCCAACAGTATATTATAAATTAAACTAAACAAAATGAAAACAACGAATAAAAAAAAAAAAGAAACTCTGCTCCTGATGACAACCACCACGTGACACAGACTTACGATAACATTTGCTACCGGATTACAACAACAATCACATATTCCCAATTCCATTGTTTCCAGATACATAAAGCCTGGACTCCACTTTACCTGAATTCCCAACTGAATCGTAAAACTGACGAGAATTTCAGTTTTTTTAACATTCAGTTGGACAGAAACAAGGCTGAAAGCAGAGTTAAAAAGCACTTGACTATCCTGATTTTTGTTCCGCTTTTCTGTCGAACTGCAACCAATAAAAATGCGTAGATTTGTGACGCGTAGTCACATGCAATACACATCTATTTGACGGCTTTTCTATTGATCTAATATTTATCGTTCCGCTTTACGCGACGACAAAAGTTTAAAAGGTTCAACTTCATATTTCGTCAAGTTCGATGGCAAAAGTGACATCATTTTGCAGTTCCATCGATGGTTTCCGTCATCCTTTTTTACACTAAATTTAACACGAATTACCGAAAGAATTCTGACAGCCTTCTTCTGTATCCTGCCTACACAATTAATCCAGAATTTGAATGATGTTTTTTTTTCTTCAATAAAATATACGAGGTTCTTTGCTTTTCTTCACGTTTATCTCTTTTCTTGTTATCTATCTGTGCTTTACTAGAATAAATTATTTTTACATAGTGAATTTTTTTCTTCGTATATATGTGAAACCTAAGAATATTGAAATTTATTAAGGATTACTCAAACAAAGAACACATTTTCATAAGTAGGTGTTCAGATGAAATTTTCCAGGACAAGTCGATAATCTGCTCGGAGCAGTTGGCGTGAATGACTTTACTCTATTTTACGATACTTCCGTGCTGACTTAATTTCAACTTATTGTGAAATTACAGAAGGTTTTTACTCTAAAACGCCGAATGACTTTATCTTTTGCCGATTGGAAAAATAACTAGGAGACAGCAATGCTCCCCATGTGCGTTACAAAGAGACGTTATGTATTAACGTATTAACATGTAAAATTCTTAACTTGTGTGATCATCTGACTTAACAGAAACTTGTAGTTACCATAAATGTTTCATGCTGGTTTTTAATACGTATTCTTACTCTTAATAAAAGATAATGCTAAGTTTTTTTCCTATATAAATATTTACGAGAAGAAAAATGTAATTTATTTAGGCGTTTTAATATGTAATAAAATACATCTTTTGTTAAATCAATATTTCTGTATTTGTAGTTTAATTGATTGTTAAACACATTATCAAATTTTTATTTTAAAATCAAATTACTTTGTATTTTTTATGTGTAAATTTAAGATTCGAATCTTATTACATCATAATCAATTTAAACAATTAATTTATATGTTTCTATGTCCTTGTTTTCTATTTGTTATATATTTTCTAATTCTAAAATCGATGTGAATTTTTTAGAATATTATATTCAATAAATATTTTTTAACCTTATACAGGTTTTAGTGATCGGAATTCTTCTGTGTATTTACTTACATATAGAAGTAATTAACAATAAGGAAATTGTAAGTCATATATTATTGTCGGGAAAATTTTGTTATATATTACTTGAATTTTTATAAATTTATTTTAGCACCATATTTTTGTAAACCTGCTGAGGAGGGACCTGAAGGTCCGAAATACAAAGAAAGTGTGTAAAGTGTGTACAGGTATAATACAATGTGATGAGTAAAGATTGTTTGTTTCCCTGGATAAAGATTTTTTCCTCGACTGCTAAAGCCAAAACACCAGTGTAATACGTCCTATTAATAGGCTAAGTCCTAGTAGACAAAATATATAACTTATTACATTATAGTTTAAACTGGGGAAAAATAATCAAAGCACTTCATAATTTTGAATTAATTTTGTTATAATACATTAAAACTTCTAGCAATTTTTTGTTATCAAAATTTACAACAACTGAAAGTTTCTGTGTTTCTGAAGAAGCTACTTAATTCAAATGTGTTAAAAATTATTTGCTGAAACAGAAGCTTTTAATTATTGAAAGCTTTTTAAAAAAAAAAAAAAAAAGAATAGCATAAATTTTATGCTATCTTTTATGCCATAAAAGATAAATTAGCTTAGTAATTACTTGAGATTATAAGCAATGAAATTCGATAATATTTGTGAGATATTAGTGATTGTAATAGAGTTAAAAATAAACCTAGTGTGAACTACATTTGTATTAGTGGCATTATGTAAAGCTACAAAGTAGAATTTAATCCTTTTTCAGTTTTGCATAGTCGTTTGTTTTTGTAAGCCAATCCATAAAGTTCTCCAAGGGTAGAGAAGAAAGAAAAGATCGACTCCATCAGCTATAATAATACATATATATTATGAGAGTTTATATTACATTATAAAAATAAAATAAATTAGAAGAAAAATGTATTAACTTAGTTTATGACTCGAGAGAAATTCCAGATATGTTTTAATAAAGTTTATGTCAAATACTTTTTATATTATAAAATTACTTTTAATAAGCATTGACGACACACCTTTCGATTCACTACCGGTAGGAAACATTTGCTTTCAAAATATCAAATAACGCTTTATCTTCTTAAAATTATATAATTTATATATACTTAAAATATATGTTAATATAAAAGTCAAAACTAAAGTAATAAAAATCTCTTAAGACCCTATCTATATTGTCATATCATTACATTTCGCTATACTTTTTACATAGATAATAAATACTGGATGTATTAGAAGTTATTTTGAGTTGAATTACCTTAAATGCGCAAATTCTGGTGACAATTACATCAAAAATTTCGAATCCAATAGGTGTTCCTCCCATTCGTTTCATGAAATTTAATAACTAAAAAACAATACTACACGTTTAAAATAGATAGAAAATAAGATAAGAACTGTACAAAATAGTTAACAGAAGTGATATTAATTTTCAGAATCATTGCAATTGTCACTTAAGTATTTTTTTTAATTTAGAAGTTAATATAAGGTGTTTTTATATATTATTAATTTATAGAACCTTCCATAATTTGATGTTAGTAATACTTATTTTTAATTAAATATTTGAACGTACTTTTATAATTTTTGACCATTTACTTTTATTTAATAACTCATTAACATTAAACCACATAATAAATGTTATATAGAATATTGTATGTACTGTATAGACTTCCATCTTTGAAAATATTAAAGCAATGATTTATTTATAAAATGTTACTAGGGACAATTTGTTTTCTGTCTGAACTTGAACTAAGAATAGAGTCGAAGCGCTAGTAAGTCAATAAAATTTTGTAGGAGCCATTTGCAAAATTGTTTAATGGTTCACCTGAATAATTTTTGTATTATTGTATTTTATAAAAACAAACAAAATAAAATAACAATAAATTTATATTTGATTTCTGAAAATAAATACCAACCACATTATTAATAAATAAAAACTTCTTACTCGCAAGTTTTTCTCATACGATAGATTGTACAGTCGGAATCTTGAGACTTCTTTCATGACTTCTGTAGCCTACAGAAATAAATATTTTTTTTTAAAAAAATGGTCGTTTTAAATAAAAATTGATAAATAAAATTCAAAAAGTCTAAAAAGTTATTATTAAGTACTTATTGGTATTGTTGTTTCTAGTGATTTTATTGATACAATAGCAAATAACAGTTAAAAAGTAGAAGCAATTGAATATAAAAATATTTTTCGATGTTTATAAAGCTACTTTAATTTAACTAGTAATTAGGCCTATAACTATCAGTAAACCAATTTAATAGCAAAAGAATATTATCTGTTTTTTGTGAAATATATACAAAAATAATCTGTTTTTTTTAAAAAACTTTTAGTTAAATTATTTTTATAATTTAAAAAATATATTATCAGAATCGTATTTACAAGTCTCGGGGATTGAGGCGCTAATTTCTCGCGTGTCCCCTTTAAAGAACCCAGAGAAAAAAACAACATAAATTAATTAATTAATAATGCATATAATGTATAAATCAGAAAGAATAACTGTTAAATGTAAGTTTGGAAGTTGTTTTGGGAATGACGTTAAATTTTTTTATACCGTCTGGCATTATTCGACTTCTCTTCGTATCGTTTTTTTAGAACTAATGCGTTAAGAGAACAGTTCATTTTTAATCTTTTCCTTTCAAGCACCCGTAACGAAAACAATAATTCGTTTCTCGTTTCTCGAATATCAATATTAATATTCTTCCGGCTGATATAGGCTATATAACAGAGGAAAAGTATGGTGATCGGTCAAAAAAATAACCCACACCCAGATTTTTACATTTTTGGACTCAGGAGGCTTTGAAACGTCGAGAAACGCAAAGAAGAAGAAAAAAAAATCGGGAGTTTCTTCTGTGTGTATATTGTGTGGGAATACGATTTTGTTCAACCTGTTTGAAGTTTAATAACTCCTAACTCCTATGCTTTTTATCGAAAATTTATTAAATTTTGCAGGGAAGTTTGTTTATTAGAGGAATTGAAAGTAAATTTTGGTGATTAAGGTCGTGGAGTGGAGAGATAAAGGAGGTCGTGTATATCTCCAGTAGGCTCGGATTTAATTACAATTTTACTCCGTATTAGCATTTACAATGTTTATAAAACCCATCACTACAATTAAAATTAAGCCTTTTGCCATTTTATAATAGTTAAAAATATCAAAAGTTTTTAAATAAAATATTATAACAGATGACGTCACCAAATGTTGCCGGAAAAGTTAATCAACTCATTGTTGGATTTTTTTAAAATTAGAAATAACGAGCTAATTTTGTAAATTTTTATTAGTGAAACAGAAAACATACATACACTAAAACGAATGGAAATATTTAACAAGGCCTTGTCTTCTGACTTCATACAGTATGATTTATTTTCTTATTTTAAGGCGATAAGGAGATCCTGATTTCTAATTGTAGCCGTGTTCCAAATACTTTTATAGAACACTAATATTTATCATTGTAATCTTACTCAGTAAAATTTGTGAATTTTTAAAAATTAAAATCAACTTTATTGGAAACTTTCATATCTACGGAGTTCTAGTCTAGTGTTCCAGACTCGAAGGCCTCGTATGCTTGCGCCTAAGTACGGTTCTGTATGTTAATTGTAACACAGTATCAATAAGCTGATGTCAGAATAGATTGAAATGGGGAAAAAAATTGATATATTACTTTAAAAATTGAATAAATAATTTCTTGTATATATTAAAATAAGAAATTCTGAGCGATCTCAAAATCATGAAACGATTTTATTAATCAATATAATCAAAGTGTTAGTTTATTTAGAGCTTACTTTATGAAACACGAGAGAACACAAATAAACATATAGACTATATGATCTAAGCCGAAAAGTAGCCGAAAACGCAATTCCTCGCAAATCGCACCAGTTTCGGTTTAAAATATATTACCGGTAATTGTTATTTCTCCATCTTCTGGGTCAATTTTGAAATACATTGGCCATTGATGATGTCACAGTAATTTGGTTACGATTTTCCATTGTTTCTCTGTAGTGTGCTTGTTGAAAGGAAATTTCGGATTTTTCATTTAATCGTTGTTTTTGTAACGCTTTGAAGTAAGTATATGCTAAAATGCTTTAATTAGGGCCTATATAGTGCTGTACATTTTTATATATTTATTAGAAACACATTCCTAATGTAACATTGATTATTAGGCATTTCTAAAGGTTATAGAGATGCTTACTTCACAAAATCGTATCGTATCTGAAATTGTACCAGTAAGATCTGAGATACAGTACTTGATTAGCCATAAAAAATTCTTTTGTTACTTTACGTTTATTCTTCAATGATTGATACATGAAAGTTTGAAAAATGGAGGCTTAAAAATATAAAAAATAAATCTCAAACGCTGAGCATTACTGTTCCGTTGATAGAACAGTTTAACAAGTAACGTGCGATCAGGAAAAGTAACTATCATGACTGTTCATTGGTCGAAGAACTGTGAAGCATTTTTGCTTTTGCAATTCCTTTTATACCCAAAATTCGTTAGAAAAGCGTATGTAATATGCACTTTAAGGGAACAGCAACATCAATTTCGCTTTAGTGGCTGAAAAAATTTCTTTCTGAAAATCGAAGCCGCGTACATAAGATAATATGCATAGCTCAATAGCTCTTTCTACAGAAAGGTCTGAATACCTAGTGTTTAATTATGATCATCCTGTACGTTATACCTGTACGCATTAAATCTTTTCACTTTATTTATTTTTAAACAATTATTATTTTAAACTTTCGTGCATAAAACGTTTTAAACCTCGCCGTAAATGATATTGTAAAACACGCCATTATAAATAATGAAAATTCTTTTTCATTTGCAAAAATATAAAAAAGAATTATTTGAATTATGTTATAGAAAACAACGCCTAAATCTAAGTCTCGGATTTAGATTTGCATCTAATCTAATAAAGTCTCAATGTGACTTTAGGCATGATTAGTAATAAGTACTTTGTTTAAAGACTAGCATTTACACCGTAGAATAAACTTCGACATCATAAATTACAATCGGTTATTTGAATTTCTTTACAGTTATATTGATTGGTTTTGTGCATTTCTTACTGTTTCGGAAATAAAGTTTTAATATTAAAAATATAGGATTGAATCTTAATATAAATTTTTAAAAATTTTTACCTGATATGGAAATTCTGCAGCAGCAAACAGGATTCGAAAGCTTGCTATTGTCATGGTGCATAAAACAATAAAAAGAACACCAATACTTATAACATCTGGTCTTGAATATTTTAGTATAAATGCTATTGTTGCAATAAAGCCTACTGTGAGCATGTTCAATACTATACCGATGAATGTGAAAGCTTTTTTCAGTTCTTCGACATATAGAGCGAGATCTTCGAATCTTCTTTGAGAGTATTCAACAAATTTCTCAAAATCTTCTTTTCTGCCATGAAAACTTCTGCATTCATTCAACAATCTTATCCATCGATCTTTGATAAGAAAGAAGTATATTATGGTAATTGCTCCCCCTAAATGCGCCTCTCCGCATATAAATGAAATTCCTAAATTAATGTAGGTTAGACATTTGGCAGCAAGTTCTTCTCCATCTACAGCAATTCTCTTAAAACCTTCCGTCATTAAAAGAATATATTGACTCACAGAAGAAAATATTATAGAACAAAGGCATAAATATAAATATTTTGCCTGATTTTCTAAGACTGAGATAATTTCTTCCTCAGGAGGATATTTTTCTTCAATTTTCATTTTAAAATCAATTAAAAATTTATAAAAGTAATCAGAATTCATAAGAATGGTTGTTATCATGGGGGTCAAGCTAAAAGCTTTCGTCATCAGTGGATCATTGCCAATAAGGTAATATAAACTACCGCAATATTTTCGTGATTTTTCCAAAGGAAGAAAGGTTATGATGATAACGGCAATTGATGCGGCCATATGATAGAAATAAAAGACACATCTTTCTATTTTATACGCTGTTGTTCTTGAGTTTGTATTTTCATGGAGACATTCAATCGGAATATCAGCTTTAAAAAATGCCGAAATTTTCCTAAGAGGTTTTAGACTTTCTTTTAAGCATAATAATTCATTTTTATTCGGCAAATGAATTTCTGTTACTTCTCCTTGATTTGTTTCAGTCATTTTTTTTTCTTTCCTAAAATTTAAAGCAAACGTCTTAAAAAGGATTGTAATACTACACTTATATTTAAAAACCTATAAATTAATATAGTGACAAATATAGTTGGAAATATTATATAACATATTTTATTGTAAATTTTATAAAGTAATGTATAAAATAAAACTAAACGATTTCGAAATAAATGCATTTAATAAAACTAAAACAGAAATATAGGCCTATAAAGAAAGATATTTCCGATAAGTATTTTCTAGTTTGATTTATATTTCAGTTTTGTTTATATTATTCGAATAGCATGCAATTTAACTATAAAAATCTTTATTAAATAACTTTTAAAATACTATATCGCTTACGTAATTACGAATATCTCATTAACCATATTGTAACTTTATCTTAAGGCATAAATAATTTTTTAAATAGCACATTCAGTAAACATTATTTAAAGATTTTTCGATGAGAATAAAGTGAGGGAAGCATGTGGTTTTATAATAATAAATTTATATAAAAATTATTGTTTTAAGTTCGTAATGATTAATTATTATATTTTATATTAATAAAAATAGAAATAAAATACCGGAATTTGAGTCGTGTAACGGTAAACTGAAAGAAATATTTCAAAGAATTGTATTATATTTCTCCAGATAAATAAACAAATTACAGAACACACATCGGAGAATTACTGTTCGCAGATAATACAGTCAAACCTCGGATTTCAAACGCCTCGCTTTTCGAACAATTCGGTTTACGAACAAGATTTTCAACGCCAATTAAAAATATACTAACTTAATTAATTTAAACAGAGGGATGTTAATTGATGACGTATGGAATGACGTCATACACAAAGATAAAAAGATATTACGCAATGCGTGATGATTCGTTTAGTAGAATTTTTAGTGGTTTTAGATAGTTACAAATACTTGGCGTGATCTTCGTCATAGATGGTACCTATTGTAAAATATTTGCATAAATATTGTAAGTTATTTATTTCTTTATATTTGGATTAAAAATGTTTAAATTGTAAATTTACAAAACAATTTTTATGCTCTGTAGACTGAGGAGGGATTGGCGAAAACGTTGGATCCGAAATGTATATAAATAAAACAACTCTAAATTAAAATTGCTTCTGTGTAATTCTTGAACTCCGGAAAACAGTCGGATTAGGAAATAACAAATTTGTTTATTAGTTCAAAAACCCCTTTCAGGTGGTTAGATAAATAACTGATTAAGCCGGCTAATATTGCTAAATTTATCTGATTATCAAAAATTTATTAATATAATACTGTATTAATATTTAATTTAATATTTATTAATGTTATGTAGCCAATTAATTAAAACTAAAAATAATAAAATAATAATTAAAACTCTGGTTTTTACACCGAAACTGAAATTATGTTTTAGAATCAAATCAAAATTAATTAATTAATTTTAATTTAAATCAAAGCAATTGAAACATAATATTTCGGAAAGTGTGGATAAAGTAATTGTCTGTCTTGATTGATTTGATTATATTTCATCCAGGCTGAGTCGAGTCTCTATTTATAGCAGTTTTTTGTAAAGTAATCGTTTCGGTTTCAGTTGGAGGTATGTTTTAATATTATATAAAAAAACTAGCAGGTAAATCTGGCAAAAAGTAAGAACAAGCATTAAGATTATTAGATTATTTCGTACTTCTAACTCTTATTTTATAGTATTTGATTTATATTTACAAAGGTTATCTTATGCAAGGGTTTATCACACCAAGTGACCAATCTAACTTATTTTAAAAATTCTTTAAACTGTGTACAGTGGGGGAAAAATAATTTTTAAAATGTGTTATATTGGGCACTCGATGTGATAAACTCTTACGTAAGATAACCTTTGTAAATATAAATCAAATACTATAATATAACAAACATTAAAACGAAAACCATATAGTCTACCAATGTCATGTTTATCGCGATACTCGGACGGTAAGAAATGGCACAATTTCATTGGTCAAGTACACACCAAATATGGTATCTTAAATTTTTTCAGATATCATAATTTTTTCTCTTCCTCTAAAAATGTTACCTCTAAGAAACTGTTCCATTCACAACCGAATATCAAACGGTCATCTGACAACGATTCAAATTTCGCGAAAACGGACCAAATATTTAAATTCGGCAATCTCGAAAATCAATTAAATCACATTTTGTGCAGGCCGAAAACCTCATATTTTGGATTTCCAATTCCAGTGTCACCATATCGCTGCTCCGATAGCAATTTGGGACAGTTGACAAAGTTGGTCGAAGTAATTCGAGCAAAAGTAGTCGTTGACCGCCTCCCGTAATAGAGGACGGTCAACGACTACTACTTTAATACCGGTCTATCATTATTTGAAAAGTGATCCGTGTTAGACAGGTTGTGATGGCTCCGCATGTGATCGAGTTGCTAAGCTTCATGTTCGAAAGACTTCATATAAAATTTGTTTAAATAAAAAATCTAAAACTGTGAGAGTAATTGCTTTTATATTATACCTACACAAAAACATATCTCACTGAGAATTATTTATTAACCGTAACGAACGTTTTCAACCTTTATCCAACATTTTTTACCTATTCTTTTATTTTGTTATTTTAAATTGTATACATATTAGTGTAATTTATTCTTTGGATTCAAATAGCTCAACATTCCAAAGAATTTTGTATTTTAAATGTGTTCTTAACTGTTCTATACAAAAAAGAATAGTTATCAATATTTCATGATTTTTAAAAACCTGAAGATGGCTTGTAGAACAGATTGAAAACGTTCGTTACAGTTAATAAATAATTCTCAATGAAATACTGTGCTTTTGCGTAGGTTAAGAAGCAACTAGCTGGGTATTAATTAAGTATTTTATGATATAATAAAGTGTTTATATTTTTGCAACAGATTGTATAAACTATATGGGAAGTATGTTCTCGTAAACATCGTTACAGTTAATAAATAATTCTCAATGAAATACTGTGCTTTTGCGTAGGTTAAGAAGCAACTAGCTGGGTATTAATCAAGTATTTTATGATATAATAAAGTGTTTATATTTTTGCAACAGATTGTATAAACTATATGGGAAGTATGTTCTCGTAAACATCGCGTTTGTAGAAAAATTATTGGACGGCAATTTGAAAAACTTGTTGACTTATAAATTTCGACTGTTGTCCGTCTGTATGTTTGTTTGTTTGTCCTTCCTCAATCTCGAGAAACATGTTAGAGACATGAAAGGCGAGAAAAAATGTGAAAAGCTTCGGGGCAGGTGGCCATGATTAACTATATATGAACTTCTGATTTGGAATGATTGTCACGTCACTTCGATTCAAAATTCTCCCCTAAACGAAGTTAGATTAGCAGTAGCGTCGTGCCGCTACTGCTAATAGGAAAAGTATGATGTACAGGGGTAAAACATCTCTAAAAGAATTGAGAACATTGTGACGAAAAGTTGCAGGTTGGCATTGTGACGATGTCATAATAAATAATAGATCGTTAGAATTAGTTTGGTTTATTTGTAACTGCAACACGACACGTGAGCAAACTGCCGGGGGAATGCATCTCAGGAAAACTTTTATGGAAAACTGGGCCTTATTTAGATGATGAAAACCCGGAAAACTGCACGTGACTGGCCCGTTGGCCATGCCCGAACCCATGACTAACTAGCAGAGTTCGGTGGTTTATGCACTTAGCTACTGGAGGGCGCTTATTAGAATTTAAAAAGTGCAGAAATGAAAAATCCCGAGTGGTTAGATGTGCAAAATTAAATGCTTTTAGACTTTTTACAGGGTAACACTTTCGATAGCACCAGGCACCTGTCTATGTATAGCGCGTCTATTTCTCGCTATATTATTGCTAAAGTAATTAAGTGAATATAACATATATTTTTTAAAAATAAGAATTATATTTAATTTATTATTTCGTTAAATTGTTTGCCAATAGATGGTGCTACGTGTAAATCAGCAAATCGAATGTAAATAGAAATTACTGTAATTCATTTACAGAAATCCAATAGATATTATGGATTGTGATGTACAACATTATATAAGATTGGAACATATAAACGTAAATGCCGAGTTTCGTTGCAATTGTTTGAACGAACAAACAAACAAACAAACATTCTCATTTATATGCATTTTTATGCATGAAATACAGCTTAAAAGGTTTAGAAAATGCTTTGTTTTGGCGGCACGGAAGGGATTAATCCATTTTATATTGTTTCTTATGGAAAAATTTGTTTTGGTTTGAGAACCAATCGGTTTTCGAAGAACTTTTGGGAACGAATTAAGTTCGAAACCCGAGGTTTGACTGTATATATAAAATTATTTTTCAGATAATATATACGAATTAAATTCTCTTACATTCGATTTACTGGCTTTATACGTAGCGCTATTTTTGCTAAATTATTATTGTGACAGGTAGCACGTAGCACACTAGGGATTGTATACCGGTTTACCGATAAATTGACAAAAAAACATTCGGTAAACTTACCGGTAAATTTTTGAAATTTACCGGTAATTCTGTAAATGAAAAATTCATACTAGAAATTTTTATGTAGAGAATATTGTGTTTATAGATATTTAAAAGGGCTAAAGGGACATTGAAAAAAAAAACAGATAAGTGTAAGCAACAATATACCTAATTATTAATTTTATGTGAGATATTTTTTGTTTAATTTTAATTTAAACTTTCTTGGGTTTGAGAGGCACTGTAAATTGTACAGAAAGCTCTAGTTAGCATATGTGATTTGTGCTCTGCCGTTTTTTGAGATTTTTAAAGGTTTAAAATCTTTACAATCAACGTTTTTGTTAAAGATTAAGTAAATATTTTTTTTTTTTAATATTTAAAAATAATAATACGTAAATATTTCACGTACTTTTTAAATTAATAG